CATTACAGTGGCATTAAGTGCCGTAATGTGCACCTCCGCCTACCCTTTCGGGGATAAAAGGCGTGATGTTATGTATGTATGTATGTATGTATGTAAGTAGGTAGCTATGAAATATTCCGTAAAGTTACTATAATTTTTGGTTAAAAATATTTGCTGCTCACCTTGTTTCCAGACGCTTTCTGTTTTTTCTTATCACTTGGAGACATATACTGAAACAAAACACCAGAATAAATAAGAATAAAATCTGTTATTTGCATTACGTATGGTAATTACATGGGATTCTGATTCTAAAAAATTGTCCCACATACATCGCTTCCGGTTTTCGGCATGCAAATAATAAGTCGAAAATACAGCTTGAGTGTCTTCAAAAGGTTGTTTATAGGCAGGTGTGCTCATCATAGGCGAGTTGGGGGCAAAACGTCATCCTAATTAATACAAATAAATATGTAACCGCATAATGTGAATTTTGAGTAAAGCTATTCTATTCGGAAGTTTAGTTTAGTTATTCAAAGATCCATTTTTATAGTCGGCCTCAGACCGTTGGAGATTAATTTGTTTTTCGTAACCATTATTATTCAAAGCAAAGCTTATTATAGAAATGATCCTATGAAGTAGGAAAAAAGATAGTTTCCAAATTAAATAGAACATATATTCTTATTTACCTCATTGTCTTTTTGATTGTTCTTATTTAAAACTTCTTCTGTTGTATCCTCTCTTTGTCTAGAAGGTGGAATGTCCTGAAATATTTTTAAATAAAACGTATAGGTGCTGCAGTTGTTCAGGGTTTTTATGTTTAACAATTATTTACCTCTATTATAATTTCATCCTCGTTTATTACTAATTTAATTGAATCTGTAGATGACGATCTCTCTAGTTCTTTAGGTTTCACCTACAATTGAAAAAACAAAAAAAAATCAACATAATAATAGAATATTTTAGTGTAATATCTGGACGTAGTTATGCAGAAACTTTTCAACTCACAAATCACCTGAAATAGAGATAATAATGATCTTACTACCTTTTATAACAGCTAGCGTCAGATTAGCAAAAAAGATTCCAAAATTTAAGTCTTAAATTTTCGTAAACATCATAAGATGCCGCACTGCGCACGCTGCTCATGAATAAGAGTCCCGTTGTGACTGGAAACTAGTAGAGCTTTTCTCAAATAAACCGTTATTTTAAACTATATATTCCCGCGCGGTTTCACCCGTTTCCTATTGACAGTAGCGTGATGTTTTATAGCTTATAGCCTTCCTTGATAAATGCACTATCCAACACAAATTATTGAAATCGGTCCAGTAGTTCTGGAGATTAGCGTTTTTAAACAAACAAACTCCTCAGCTTTATATAATAGTACAATATTTAATAAATTCTTTAATAAGAAATATTGATACTATTAACCTACCTGATGATTGACATCGTGGTTAGATTTATTCGTTTCTAGCATAAATTCGAACGGTACCAAGGTGTTAACATCATCTACTTTGTCAGGGCTCTCGTGTGACACTGGATCGCCGCAACTTGCAGTAGCATGCTTCCTCTCCTCAATTTTCATTCTCTTCGTGTTCATTTTTATAATGCCCCATTGCGATTTTAATTGTGATATGGTGCGTTTACCGCCAGCGCACATGTTGTTGAAACTGTAATGATGATTCATTGTTTTTAAAACTGACGAAGGTAATTTGATTGGTCGTCTTTGGTTAATCCAGTCAAAAGTTGAGTTCCCAGTTTCCACGTCCCTAAATAACTATGTTTTAGTTGTGGGAGTAAAAGTACTATAGGTACCCCATTTCAAAATGTAATATTATCAATGTTGTTTTTTCAGTTAAAGTTCTAGTTCTTTTCATAGCTTTACAGTTACAGTGTGCAATAGAAGCTGCCTATGACGGCACTTTTTATTTTATTAACATAGCTGTCAACGGTCGGTCCGGTGTAGTGTTAACAAATTATCGGCCTAATGATATCTTTAAATAACTGTTTATCCTGAAAATTTAACTTGATAAGGTTCCGAAGTAAGAGCTAACAAGAATATAATAAAAATTGTACCTGTTTTGCAAGTCTACCCAGGCTGCATGCTTTTTCGTATTGGTATTCGTATCAGTGTTTTTATTTTCTATATCCGAAACTCTTACTTTGACCAGCTCCGTCAATAGTAGCTACAAAAATAAAGATGTAGGTACAACAAATGCGCGGTAAATAATTATTATGGATACACAATATTACAATAAACAATTTTTTTGTAATAGACCTAACCTTGTCTTGCTTGAACCAATTTTCACTTCTTTGTCTCTTTTTATGACCTCGGTTTTCCATTGTGGAAACAATTTTACGAACCGTGCCCCCTATAAATGGTAATGCTCAATAGTTAAAATACTCAATAAGTTTATTTAACGTTTTAATTATCGTATTCGTAAAACATTCAATAAACATTTAACAAATAGCATTATTTTATTGTCATTGTGACAACTCTATGGCAGAAACGATTTCGCGCTTCTTGCAAGGAGAATCTAATCTGATATTATTTTTCTTTTGTTGTTTAGAGGTTGGTTATGTGCGAGTCAAACTCGCGCTAGGATTCTGTCGAAATTCAATGTTGTTTTTATTTTTTCGCAAGTTCTTTTTTAATACAACTTCTTTATTAATATCCAGTTAAATTAAAATCCACCTATTCGTTCTATGCCCCGTTTGTATGCCGGAACGCAGATCTACGCGAGACACAATGTATATTCTATTGTGGTTTATATACAAGTGTTTAAGAGTATTTTATTAAAAAGGCGCTATTATAAAATATAGTCATAAGACTATAATAATTATCGTCGTTGCATAGCTTTTTATTTTGAACAGCTTCAACTAGCTACTAGAAATCTTATACCGTCAGTTTATCATGACCAAAGCTAACCCTAAGAAGAGATGACGAAGTATACAGAATATTTTGATGAATGAAATTGTCATCATCTTCCAGCATATCTTCTGTGCAGGATGCCCACATCTCCTGGCTGCCGTACGAAGTGATCCTGGAAATACTTCGCTGGGTGGTCAGCTCAGAGCTGGACGTGTTCTCACTGGACCAGGTGTCCAACGTCTGCCGAGGACTGTACATCGCTGCACGAGAACCAGACATCTGGCGCTCGCTTTGTCTCAAGTATGTTTAGACTCCATCATTCTTTACGGCGCACTCGTTTCTAGTCTTAGCCTAACGTAGTTCTAGGCAATGTGATTCTCAGTTAACCAAAAGTCTGTGAAGAAATATAAAATCTTGCAATATAAGACCGCAGTGCAGATCATGAAGGAATTATTATTTGATTTGAATGTGTATCAACAAATGATGACGACACTAATATTTTTGTCGTACTAATATAGTCTTTAACTAATAGTTTTTAACCGCAATATGACGTCCCTAGCACTTGGGGCATTGAATGCGGCACCCTGGCATCGCACGGCTACATATCCTGGCGTCAGATGTACATGGCTCGGCCCCGGGTACACTTGCATGGCGTCTACATCAGCAAGACAACGTACGTGCGACACGGTGACAAATGCTACCAGAATGAATTTTACCAGTCTTGGTTCCTCATCGACTACTATCGGTACCTCAGGTTAGTTTAAACACATTATCCTTCTTTGCATCGCGATGTCGGGTAAAAAAATGTTGCTTACAAACTGAAACGTATTTTTCTTCTGCAGTGTTACCATCATAAAGATATCAGATGTCATTTCCGTCCAGAAAAAAGTTATCCATTGTCATTTCATTTATGAATCGGCCCTGAGCTTGACAGTTCGATATATTCTTAGTTCCCGCTTTATTTATGAAGGTTCATAGAAAACTTTCCCGAATGCCAGAGTTTACTATTTCGACTCGAATGAAGTTGTATTTAAGATGATGTTTTTAATATTATTTTATGCTGAATGCTTTCATAAAGTGGCAATAAGCTGCAAAGTTATTGTGACCTTCTGTGGCAGAAAGTTAATAATACTATCACATTGATTTATTTATTATTATGTGTTAGGTTCTTCGCGGATGGTACAGTGCTGATGTGGACGACGCCGGACGAGCCCCAGTCGTGCGTGGGTCACCTCAAGAATCGACAGTTCAAGCACGGGCTCGGCATCATGCCCGGCCACTACAGAGTCGTTGGGGAAAAGGTACCCGTATCCTAATATTAAAAAAAAAATGGTTTTAACTATGTTGCGCAATAATAAGATTGAAAAAGTTTCAAAATGAAAAAAAGATGAAAATGTAAAAGACTGCCTCGTTGGCCGAGTGGTCGCAAGTGCGACTGCCGGGCAAGAGGTCTCGGGTTCGATTTCCGGGTCAGGCAAAGAATTACTGGGTTTTTAAAAAAAAATCTCAGAAGTAGGTTATAATCTCATTAGGCTCACCCCCTATTACATGGGACTCATAACATAAATAGTGAAAAATGGGTGTTACATTGTACAGTGGCACAATGCGCACCTCTGCCTACCTCTTCGAGGATAAAAGGCGTGATGTTATGTTATGTTCTTTATCTAGCTGTTCATATAAACCCGTTCCTTAACTTGTTTCTTCTACTCTGGTTTATCTTCGCTATTCATAGCGGTCACCGCCTCCTGCTACGCAATAAAGCTAACTTAAATAAATGAACGCAGGTTGTCATAGTGGTAAAGAGAGTGAACCAAGAGAAGAAGCCGGTGGCGGCCTCCAACACACGCTTCCGCTCCCGACACAAGGAGATTGAGCAGCAACAGGAACAGACCTTCCACGTCGTGAGTACTACATTTTAACAGTGTGATAATGGTGAAGTCACTTGTCCATCATCCCTGCTCTTCCCAGGGGTGTTGTGTCGTAAGAATGGGCTAAGGTATTACATACCTAACAGATAAGAATAAGGATAAGAACAAGATTATATTATATATAGATAAATACTGGACATCAGCATTCTCTAATGATACTGATCCTTTTAAACTATGATTTTCAAATCGCTTGTCAAGAGTAATGATTATGTATGTATGATAAACCCCTATGAGAAACCCATGGTCTTAGCGAAGCACTCTCATGGGTTGCCCATTGTGAATTTTTAAAATTCTGGCATGTAAAACTGTTAAGATATTTTCACTGATAAAGTCGGTTAATCTGTTGCTTGGACCCTATTAAGTTGTGTCTAAATTTTACCTATGAAAGTAGATCTGATATTTGAACCATGAAGATTTGTTGCTATGGTATATGATTCAATGGTGTATAGGAGTTGGAGTTGCTCGGTTCCCGTACGCAGCGTAACTCTCGCATGGAGTGGCGCCACTACGCAGCGTGCACGCGCCGCGACCAATGGACTCAGTTCGAGCTGACGCCGGGCAAGTTCCCTCCCTTCCGCTTCAGTCGAGTTCGTAGCTATATGGCCGAGTCTGAAGCACCGCTGCCTTCTCGTCATTATGTATGTATTATAAGTTTGGAATAATTATGTATATTAAGTACTGTCGTACTATTGACTTCGCCCTAACGTTGATATAAAAAGAAGATTTATTCACCTTGATTGCTCAGTTGACGTATTTGCCAGTACAAAGTAAGGTTCGATCCCCACACGGTACAACTATTTTTTTGTACAATATTTAGTTCCAGGAGTGAAAGCGATGTATATCTTTTGAATAAAAGAAAATGTTAAGTTTATTATAAAATAAAGTTTATTATTATAGACTAATACCAATACGATTGCGCAGTTTGCGCAACTACATTGCGCAAAGATACTTCAAAGGATTCATAACTGTTTATTATTTTATAATGCATACTTTCATGTGTCTACAATAATATAGTCTCATAGCAATGTATTCCTTCTTTTCAGAACTAAAGCCCGATCTGCAGGGTTGTCACATAGCTGAGATTCAGGATTCCGGTCTTTAGTAAGTCATGGGCAAATGTATCTATGTATTTAGTAGTTCTTCTGTGTGATCTGACTATTGTACACTGTACTGCTGAATTGTAAAACAAAGCAAATATTTAAAACAGGTAAAGTGATACTCGCCTTAGAATTGTCTGAACTTCGTGTTGAAATTGTAAAAATCAACCTTACCTCTTATGAAATAAAAGACATTTTTAATCGAATTTGTAGAGGTAAAACTCTTGTCTCAAAATAAACTAATTTAACGCACAAAGAAAGGTGCTTTAAGTTTAAAATTTTAATTACAAAAGTTGATATTTTTGTCTTTAAAGTAATTCAGTGTAAATGTTTGCTTTGATAAAGCGTGTAAGACGTAATTGTATATAAGGGAGTACACAGACTGGACTGTTGTGGATAAAGTCGGAAATTATTAAAAAATAGATAAAATATACAATTATCTTTGTCCCAAAAATTTCAAAGTAACAGTGATTAAATTCTAGAAATAAAGAAACCCAAATCTTTAAAAAGTAGAGAAAAAGTCTTGTTCGATGAGCCAAACTATTCGGTAGACGTGTAAAATTAATTATAGATTCAGCACAGAGACAATGAAATGTATGTCGTATGTTTAAACATCTAAGTGACATTCTGCCTTGATAAGTATTTAAATAAGGTTGTTGCAAAACTAATTTGCTGTAGTCACGTAGTGAACTTATGTGTGTTTTTCATAATTCCGAATTGAAATAGATTCTTGTTAGGCATAGCTAAGAATTCTAACTCCTTTTTTCCTTTACCTGTGGCATCTTGGAATAATTTAATGATTAATTGCCGAGTATTTAAGGTTCATTTTTGCGTGATTTTGTGACATAGTATAGTTATTTGTATTTCCTAGTATTTCAGTTAAATTTTCACGTCCAATACGGCTTTATCTGCATCCAAATCGAATTTAAATTATGGATTATTTTCCTAGCACTAAAATTAACAAAAAAACAATTAGTTTTGGATCCCATTTTCAATGTATTTTCTGTAAATATTGTACAAAATGACGAAAATAAAAAATTTGGACTGATATGGATTTGATAAATTGAAAGTAGGTTTTATTGTCGTGGAATGTAGGTTCCTTTTTCGATGAATCCAGTCTTATGCTGTGGGGCACGAATATTGTGATTTCTAATGCCTTGGATTAAGTAAATGGTGTTCTCAAAATACGTGAGAATGTGTACTTTTGACGCTACGCGCTATATTTGATAATTATTATTGTTACATTTAAGATTTAAGTTTATGATTTTATTGTAAGACTCGAGTGGTTTTGGAAATTAAACCGATACATAAAATATGACGAACTATCTATTGGCTTAAGACTCGTATACAATTATATATTTATTTATGACATAAAAATATATGGTTTAATGGCGTGTGAATTAGCGTCATGTGTGAAATCTGAAATTGTAAGTATTTGATATTTTATACTCCTGATAAGTGGTGGACTAAAGAGAAAAGTTGAAGGATCGAGACATTTGGTCCAGGGGATATTTTATATGTAAACTTGCACATAAATATTATATATGTATGTACCCGATAACTTTATTGGATGTATGATATTTACGATCACAATGACCTCTAAGATTAGGTTGTGTCATTTAGTTGCAAGATTGAAACTAAATTAATTAACTAAAACACATTACAATTGGGCACTTTCCTTAATCAAAGATAAATTATTTCGACTGTACAATACAATACAATATTGAAAGACAATCACACTTTCATTAATTGAATTTATGATCACTTAATTTTAGTATTTTACTAGCAAAATTTTAAGAAATAAGTATGTAGTTTGACACTAAAAGAACGTGACGTCACAATACAAAATTCATAGAAAACTGTCGTTTTTGACAATTCGAAAAAAGTATTGAATTTGATTTTTTAGCAAGTACCCAATTATATAAGACTCTTGATAAATGACATGGCCTTCTTAGTAAGTAGGCTCCATTCAGTTAATACCCCAAATTTTCAGAGTAGTCCACCTTTTAAACGTAGAACTTTGAACTCGGCACACTGCATTGTTATCTGATAAAGTACAAAATATCTTTTTAAAACTATACCAAGCTTGTAACCATCTTATTCTATTGTAAATAGTCATTTATATAATCTATATTATGTAATTGCACTGCCTCGTTGGCCGAGTGGACGCAAGTGGGACTGCCGGGCATGGGATCTCGTTCGATCCGGGTCGGGCAAAGTAATACTGAGTTTAAAAAAAATCCAGTAGTAGCACGAGGTCTGGAATTGCGCCCGGTATATGGCAATACGCTCACCCCCCATAACATGGTAACATAAAATAGTGAAAAAGGGGTGTTACATTGTACAGTGGCATTAAGTGCCATTAAGTGCCACTGTACAATGTAACACACAGACACACACTTGCCCCTTCCGGGATAAAATGCGTGATGCTATGTGTATTATGTAATTAGAAAAAGCTCGCTCTATTACATGGGACTCATAACATGATTTTTGAAGTGGGTGTTACATTGTATGTGCATTGTGCATCTCTGTCTACCCCTTTCGGGGAACAAAAAAGACATTTCGTCTGAACAGTCCCATTTTGATCAAGTTTATTTATTTTTCCACTTGCTGATTTAATTTAAGCTTTAGTTAAGCAGTCTTAAAGACTAAATTACTTTGTGACGTCTATAGACGTTTGTGTAACGGTAACTAAGTATGGTAGTGCTTTGTACTAGTCTTAAGTCTCAGGATGAGATAATAAAAATATTGATTGCAGTTTGTATAGTTTTCTTTCGATTTTCATGTTTTAATTGTCTAATACTTACACCCTTGTCTCCCTTATTTTTCTCCTCTTCTAGCTCCTCTCTTTCTTACCTACAGATTATGTTTTGTTTCATCCATCCATGTGTTGTCGAAATACTCAAACGCTATTCGATTTTAAACTGTCAAACACCAAGCGGTCACCGGTGACCGCAACCTATTGTTTTATAATTGTGTTCTATAACGAGTTAAGCATGACTTAACTCGTTGAGTACCGTCATTATAGACACAATTATAGAACAATAGGTTGCGGTCACCGGTGACCGCTTGGTGTTACACAGTTTAAGTATAGTTCTGTCATTACAAATTATTTAGTAAAACTGGCTTTAGCCCTCGACTTCGTTGGCGTGGAATAGTGACTTTCAGATTTTTGGGTTTACCCACATAGCTATCCCCTATCTTGCGGGATTTTTTAGAAGTTCCCGCTTCCGTGGGATTTACGGGATACAAACTATCCTATGTCCTTTCTCGAGTTCCAAACCTTACTGAACCGATTTGGATGAAATTTGGTACAGTACGTCTGTTTTATTTTGTTCAGTAGTTAAGATTGAAGCTTGATGGATAGACAGACAGACAGACAGAATTACTTTCGCATTTATAATATTAGTTTGGATGACATATGTCACGATATTTCAGTATACATAATTTTATATTGAATAGCCTTTCAGTATTTGGGCGTATGTTGTCTAAAAGTTCAGTAATCAATACTTAAAAAGTCGTTAATGAAGTTTTCAGCTTTTATTTATATATTTTTTATGGTGCATATAAATTTACAGTACCTACACGGCGACAAATAGTGTCCCTTCGTCCAGCATACTCACCATGGAATCCTGATATTTCATGAATGTCAAAAAACTGTTCTGAAATAGTGCTAAATAGTGCCCAAAGGAAAAAAATAGTGCTCTTGTACTTGCGAAGTTATAGCCATAGTTCGATGAGTATGCTGGACGAAGGTTTCGCCCAGCATACTCACCTCCGTCCGGAGAATCTGTATACGCTTCAAACATAATTCATACTTCAAAAAATAGTTCCCAAATAGTGCCAAACGGTGCCCAAAAAGAAAAAACAGTGCTCGAATAACTTCGGAGTTATAGGCTTCGTTCAGTGAGTATGCTGGGCGTAGGTTCTACGCCCAGCATACTCACCTCAGTGCGCGAATATCGAACGAGCTATAGGTACAATTTACGTCTCAAAAAATTGTGCTTGAAATAGTGCCCAATATCAGTCCAATTTTTGCTTGACTTTTGAC